AGAACTCCACTGCACAGAGACCTCTTTACCCACTGTACGGCAGGTGGGCACTGGCTTCTTCCTTCCCTTCCTTCTTTTGTGGTGCTGGGGATGGGGCACAGGGCCCTGTGCATACCAGGCAAGCGCTTTACCACATATCTCTGGCCCCTGGGTAGCTCAGTTAACACTGATAGAGTTGCTCCAGCACATCTCCGGCACACATGTGCATGAGTTCTGAAGTGCAGAGGGGCTATCAGATGAACTGTGCAATTTCACCAGGCCACACTGTTCCTAAGTGGTGCTTCCAACTGTCACACCAATAGTAACAGAAGGTAGTCACTATTGCCAAAAATGTCTCCGAATGTTGGTATTTTCTGACGTTTTATAGTTTCTGCTAATTGGATGGCTGGAAAAATTTATGGTTTTAATGTGTTTCCTGAAGACTAAATAAGGCCAAACAGCTTTCCATGTTTATAAGCCACTTCTGCTTCTCCTTTGAAATTCCTGCCTGTTTGGTTCCATTTCTCCTGGGTGTTCTCAGTATGAATTTGCATCTAGGTGTTCTTTACCAGGGATATATGTAAGTTTTTCACTCTATGGCCTGTTTGGAAAACTATTCACTATCAATGAAGCCAAATTTTTTCTACTGACTGAGGCTTGTACTATCTTGTGCAGGAGATCCTTCCCCAACCCTAAGTCATTGTTTCAATCACTGCATTTTACACTAAGTTTTACATTCTTATAGTGCTAGTTTATATTCCCCTCACACATCATTCTTTCTTAGAAATGTCTTGAGCATCCTTGGCCCTTTGGTCTTTCATTAAAATTTAAAATTGGTTTGTCAAGTTTCACAATGAAGATCACTGGGATTTTTTTTATTGAAAAATTATTTATTCCACAGAATCTATTAGCCAATTTGGAGAAAGAATTGGGATCTTGGTTAAGGTTAAATCAAGTCTTCTCATCCACCACTTTTTATCCATTTATGTAGATCCATAAAATTTTGCATTTGTTTAAATTGTCCCCTCATTAACACCACATACTTAAGATTTATGCTTAGGTTCATAATATTTTTTTGTTCCTCCTATGAATTGTACATAATTATGTCTTACAAATTTTAAAACCATCCCTGTTTGTACCTGGTACCCGAAAATGAAACTGACACTTGCCTATTGATTTTGTCCCAGAAACCCTGATAAGCTTCAACGAGGGGGGGGATCTACTTGCTTAGAAGCATTCACGTTTTCAATAAGAAAAGTTGTATTTACTTAGCACTTAGACTGTATTTTTTATAAAAAATTACATCTACTTAGAAGCAGTCAAGATTTTTAATTAAAAATAACTATAATCTTGATACAACTATTAACTGTTCTATTTGCCTCATAGATTTCTTTTCTTTTGGTTTTCTCTGGTTACTGGGGAAAGAACAGGAGCACTTTTTATCATTAAGCTATATCCCCAGTCCTTTTTCTTTCTAATTTTGAGACAGAGTCTTGCTAAATTGCTGAGGCTACCCTTGAATCACAATCCCTCTACCTCAGACTTCCTGATTTGCTGGGATTACAGGTTTGCAACACCATGCCTGGCCACCTTGTG